GTCTAGTTGTAAACTTATGATTAAAGGACGGTAAGATTCTTCCTTTTATTATTTTTAAGTCGATTTGTACCCTATGAATTTTGGCACAATTTGGGTGTACGGGGGCGGGCAACCCCCCGTTTCGTTTGTTTTGACACAGGGTCCGTACCCGCATCCTTCGTCAGGAGCTACCCAATCCTGTTAAAGTGCCCACTCCACACCCGTCTACGCACCTGGATTGGAGGCCTGATCCTCCCACGACCACCGTACGACTTCTTAAAAAAATGTTACAACTTCAAATTGTTCGTAGTTCAGACCACGGTGAAACTCCCGTTTTTACTTTCTAGATACCTATGTCACGAGAGTTGTCGCGGTAAACTTGTGTCCTTGACATTCGTCTAAAAGATAATGAAATACGTATAATGCTTAGTCAGGGACATCGATAAGGACTTTTCAAGCCAAAATGTAGTCTTGATGTTCAATGCATTTGTTTCTTCGATTCTGGCCTGCCGCAAGTAATTGTACATCGGTATGCTTTATTTTACTTATATCCAAATCCCTACTGATCTCCTTTTTCTACGGTCTTGACTACCTCCCGTTTAATTTTTGTACTGACGGACGACGAACCTCGTAGATGCGATTGACTTCGACCTGAGCCTGCACGCTGTCGCCTTTATGTGGGCCCATGTTTTATTTCCGAAACGTAATTTGTTTGTTTCCACCCCTTTGGTAACGTATACTTTTCTTATAATAAGTAAAACCACTTCAAAGTGTTAATTGTCTTTTATTGTTAATCCGATATATAACCCCGTGTGAAACTCGCATAGACTTTTACATGTACCACTAGACGAGACATAATTTTATGTTAATTCCTCTAGTTGTGTTTTTTCTTTCACCTGCACTAGTTTTTGTTTGCCTCTCCACTCATCGCGAAGTAGTTTTGTCCTTTACTCAGTATTTGTTTATTTTTGTTCATAACAGAATGTTCATAATCAAAATACGCTTAGTACTTGGACACATGGAAATTAGATTTACAGTAAACATACCAGATGAGATACGTTAAACAACAACAACACATACAGAAGAATGCAAACATACAGCATAAGACACACTATAGTTAAGAGACTTTACACTTGTGAAACTTGAAGTGAAGTGTAGTCCTCTCTGCGAGCAAAAACTACTTTCTTATGTATACATAACAGTCTTATGTCTACTTACATCTACTCAAAACCTCTAATCCGGGCAACACGTCCTTCATGAAGCCCCTCCCCTCTTCGCTAGGCTAACTTTGGGGGGCCCAGATTTGGGACACCAGCCACTTACCTATCAACCCCCCAGCGAGATTTCCCCTCCCGACATCGAACTGGAGACCCACCACCACTAACCTACCAACCCGCCAGACTTCCCTCCCCGAATCGAACTGGGACCACCACCACTTACCTATCAACCCAGCGAGATTTCCCCTCCCCCGAATCGAACTGGGACCACCACACAACTACCTACCAACCCCAGCAGACTTCCCCTCCCCGAATCGAACTGGGACCCCACCACTTTACCTATCAACCCCAGCCAGACATTACCCTCCCCGAATCGTAACTGGGACCACCCACCACTTACCCTATCAACCCAAGCCCAGACTTCCCCTCCCGAATCGAACTGGGACCACCACCACTTACTATCAACCCAAGCCCAGACTTCCCCTCCTCGACTGGGACCAACCACGCACTTACCTACACACTTACCTACAAACCCCAACCAGACTTCCCCTCCCCGAATCGAACTGGGAGGCCACCACCAGCCTCGACGGGACTTCCAACCCAGCCAGACTTCCCCTTCCCGAATACGACTGGTGTGACCACCACACTTACCTACCAACCCCAGATGTCGAGACTTCCCCTCCCGAATCGAACCTGGGACCACCACTCACTTACCTATCAACCCCAGCCAGCTTCCCCCTCCCCCGACCTGGGGAACCACCACCACTTCCTACCAAACCCCAACCAAACTTCCCCTCCCCGAATCGAACTGGGACCACCACCACTAACCTATCAACCCAAGCCAGACTTCCCTCACCGAATCGAACTGGGACCACCACCACTTACTACCCACTTACCGTATGAACCCAAGCCAGCCTTCCTCCTCGAACTGGACCACCACCAATTAACTACCATTCCCCAACCAGACTTCCCTCCCCGAATCAGAACTGGGACCACCACCACTTACCCTATCAACCCCAGCCAGACCTGCCCCTACCCCGAATCGATCTGTGACCACCACCACTTACCTACAACCAAACAGATTCCCCTCCCCGACATCCGAACCTGGAACCACCCCCTACTGTATCAACACCCCACAACCAGACTAGTCCCTCCCCGAATCGAACTGGGATCAGGTCAGTCTCTGGTGTACGGACCTCCAGAGAAGGGCCTCTCATGCAGGTAACGGATAAATCAAACTGGAATAAAATGTCCGTTTACGAGGTGAGGGCCTCTGGTGGTGTACACGCAATTGGTTTCAACTGGTCCTCGATAAATGTCCGTTGACTCAAGGGTGGGCCTCTGCTGCTGGTCAACCAACGGCCAATGTTTCACTGTCTGGATTAAATCTGGATAAACTGGTCCACATCTTCGAGGCACTTGTGTTGAATTGTACCCTATTGGAGCAGTTACCTGAATGAGCAAGTGACCTTATAATTACGGTCTAAGCTTATGTTGTATCGTTAAGAGGCAGTTACTTGACCACTCCACTTCCCTATCACTTCTCCTATGGTTTCCCAGCGAAACTGTTGTCTCACTACTCTCTTGAGATTGGCGATCAATGGTTACCGTTAAGACCTTCTCCACACTCGGGTTCTTGTCCCCCAACGCGTTTTTGTACCGCCCGACTGCCGTACACACACAGACCAAACTTTCTAGCTCCTACGCCGGGAGACTCCGGCGCTTTATATCGGGTGACGTACAGAGGATTCCCACATACACACAATCCTCATCTAATTCTCTCTGAGAACTGCCTCACATTTTCCAAACAGGCTGGTTCCTTTAGTCTGAATGTGTGTTTGGTGGCGTGATCATTATTATTTAGAGTCATTGCGTGCCTATTGATTTGAACACGATCCGTGTATCCATCATTTCCTGGTCTTCTCTAAAGAAGAGGGACCAATGAAAACGTTGTCATGTTGCCGTTGGTCACCATGGAAACATTCATTAGCTAACAATGACATTATTGTTCTATTAATATAAAGGGAGGTCAGGTACTCTTTAAAACAGCTGCTAGTTATGGGTACTTTTTACTGAAGTACATTTCAAAGCCTCTTTACTTTTACTTGAGTAAAGAAGTTTAGTCAGTATTGTACTTTTTAAACACGAGTATCTGTACTTCTACTTGAGTAAAGGATGTGTGTGCTTTTGCCCTCTCTGATGAACATACTTCGTGACTCGTGTGTCGCCATCCATCTAGTCATTCTACGTTTGTGAGAGGCCCAAGTTGGACTAGGAGTTTTGGGGACGAACCCT